TCGAGTCATGCGAATTGTGTGGATGTGAGAGCACTTTGGATGTGTGTTTGGATGTGGAGACAAACACTGCGCAAAGGCTGACATCATTTGCAAGGATATCGTCGCTCACTTGAGAACACGGCTATTGCTATACATTGTAGACAACAATATATTCACATAAACAGTATATTCTTCGCAGAAACGTTCACTTCTTTTAACAGTACATAAACAACAAAAACGACTTATTATTAAGATTTTTGTGTAAACGCGAGTCAATCAAACAAGTTATGGCCAATTGTGTGGACCCGAGTATTCGGTCTTTATTTAATGTGAAGGACGAGAAGGCCGCGTGTGGGGTCGGCTTCATTGTGTCCATCGATGGCATAGCATCTCATAAAGTATGCGCTATATATTCCGCACGTTTTTTCGCCGACAATACTTAGTGTTGGCAATCAATTAATGTGTTTTTGCCGTTAATTAGCTATTGATGAACGCCAAGACACTGAGCGCACGTATGGAGCACAGGGGCGCCTGTAGTTGTGATAATAGCACTGGTGATGGGGCCGGAGTTCTCGCATCCATTCCGCATCAATTCTATGCCAAAAAGATTAAGTGAGTTTCAAACTTGTTGTTCCCTTCATAGCAACAAATTAGTTTGATTTTATTTATTAGTATTTTTTAATTAGTATTTCTAAGAATTTTTGATAAAACAGAATATTCAACAAAATATTATTTTCAAAATATTTATTCGTATTTATTAATTATATGTTTAAAATGAGTTTTAATGACAATACATTGTAAACACAGGGATAGCAAAGGCATTGATCTTCCGGTCGCCGGCAAATACGCGACGGGTATCCTATTCTTGGACCCAATCACTCACATTCAGGCCGAAGAACTGTTTGAAGTGTTGGCCGCAGAGAACGAGCTGAAAGTGCTTTGTTGGAGAGATGTGCCCACAGACTCCAACTGTATCGGCGAAGTGGCCAAAAGTAATGAACCGCTTATGAAACAAGTGTTTGTTGTGCCAAATGATGACATCGACGACAATGAATTCAAAAGAAAAGTAAGAAAATTTCCATTACTTTCTCTCACTCTTTCACTTTATGCCACAAAAACACTTTTTATCAATTATTGTGTGCGAAAAATATAATTAATTTTATACGAAAACTGTATTTCCAATGTGTGTTAAAGTCATTGATTTGTTTTATTGCTCTCAAAAAACCTTTACACTAAATAGACGTCATCTCTAAATGTGTTGATCATTGCATGAGATTTACAGTAAGTTTTCAATTAAAATAAAATGAGTTTTTGAAAACTTGATTCCCGAATCAAACTATTGTCTATAATTAATAAATTATAATCTGTTTGAATATTAATTAACACTACTATTGATTCATATTTGGTGCCAAACCCTACTTCAGTGGAGAAGTGAAATAAATTTCAATTTGAAATAAAGCATTGGAAACCTATTTATAGACTATTCTCGACAAAAACTCAAGTGTTTTGAGTATATATTCTCTCTCTTTTTACAAATTCAACCCAATATTAACAGTAAAGCCATAGCTTTTTAGGATGAGATCTGAGACTAAGATTACTCTAAACGGGAAGTTAGAAAGTGATGGATTGCTCTTTGCTTTTAAGTCTATACTCTTTCTTTCATTATTTTAAAAAAGGGATCAAATATTATATCACTTATAATGAAAAATACAGATAAATTTTTGGACACAATCTTATAGAGAAGAACAAACAATTACACAGAATATGATAATTTTATTTTCATCCTATGATTTTTTATAAACTTCTAAAGTGTTTATTATGTAATGTTTTATCAATGAAAACAGTTATGTTTGGCATCCCTTTTATCATAATTATTACTTCATATCACTTGAAAGATAGTGTATATTATGTCGACTTTCGACAAAAAAAACTTAATTCACAAATAAGTGTTTGTTTGCAATCGATTCACATGTTTAGAGCGTGTACTCAAGCGGTATTAATATTGGTATATAAAGTATAACATCATTTACTCGACAAATTAAAGTTTATATCAGTTTATTAGTAATATAAATATATTGGCGTCTATTTTTGTGTTAAATTTTAATTATAAGAGATTATGGATTAAATATAAACCGAAATTAATTATGTTTTTTATATATGTTTTCATTATATAAATATGTCTTTGAAAGGGGGATCAAATAGTTTTGTTCCCTTTAAGCGTGATCTGACTTTTTTGAGCGTATAGTCGTATAATTTATTGATTTTTATCGTGATATCTATTAATAATCACTAATTTTCTGCATTAGAATTAATTTTTTACTTTCATTCATATGTTTAGTCACAAAAAGTTTATTCCCAATTGTATTATCGATTGTAATGTCGAGAAACAAATTGTATTTTAATAACATTTATTAATATTCTTATCGTTTAGCTATTTTTAGCTTCATTTTGACTTTCATTAGCAGTAGTTTTTGAATAACATATACATAACTCTCGATAATAGAGACAAAAAATATGATAACTTATATTCAGTCAAATGTGAAATACGAGATTTGCTTTCGGTTTCCTCTGATAAATATATTCTCAATAAGAATAAAAGCATTTTTTTGCTAATAAATTGTTTGCTATTTTAAAAACAAAAGCATAATTACAAGACTATTAGCGTCGCGAAGATATAAAACTAAATTATATTGAAATATTACACTTCTGTATACTTTCTGATGAGACAGAATCCGATTGAATCTCAAAACATAATACCAGAAGTTTTATTATATTTCATACTTAAAGTAAGGATGGGGTAATTCATGAAAAGATTTTGCCGTATATTATTACATACAATCCTTAAGAATTAAAAGTTAATGCTAACCTATGGGTAATGTTTATCTGTGAACTTAGCTATAAACTAAAATATAATATATTTATCTCGATATAGCTATTTTTAAACAATTATTTTTAAATATTAATAGTACAAATAATATTTTACTTTTTATAATTTTAAATTAAATTGATAAAATAGCATAAGTTTAGGTGAATTTAGTTTATTTTTAGAAAATATTGTCAATGATTGCGCCATGTTATACGTATGGCAAATCTTGAATAATACATGGAATAATACACATGTATTATACATATTTTTATTGCCCCCATCCTTACTTAAAAGAGACTTTTAATGTCAATAATTAATGGCATTGGTTTGAAGCGATAGAAACTTGTTATTAATATAATAATAATAATATTGCAAATCATCAAAAATACACATTTAAACCGAAAAATAAAATTCGCTTTTAATCTGGAAAATAACTCTAAAAACAAATACCACTATATTTTCCATATTTACAATATTTATTAAA